ACCTAAATCAAAAAGCTTTTTAAATGTAAAAAAGGCTGTTAAAGACAAACTTATTATTTTAAAATTTGAAGTTTTCAGCTTTGTTGTAAGCATATTAGAGCCATATTTGTTGGCATACCAAACTGACAAACCAATGATTCCATTCATGTATAGTGACTTAGAAAGACTTTACGAACCATACACAAGATATTATTGATAATAGTTTTATTTCAGTCCAACTAAAAGAAGTTGATTTTCATAAAAAAGATAATCTACTTAAAGGAAATCAAATCAAACTAGGGTTTGCAGCTGAAACAAGACTGGCTGCTTTACGAAAGAAAGATATAATAACCATTGCTGATATTTAAAGTTTTCACAAAGATTGCACTAACATGTATGTTCAATTGGTTGAAAAGTTCATGGACCGAACTCCACTAGGATCTATCATTGTACGCAACTCTTAGGTTCTTAACCCAAATGCAATGGTAGTAATGACTCAAGAAGATGCTGAAAAGAAGTATAAATCTTTATTGACCCACTTGATTAGCTTGAAATATGTTTCACCAATCTTTTCTGATAAAGCTATAAATCAATTTGCAGATTTCTTTAGAGAATCAAGGGTTTATCAAGACATCTTTCATGAATTCAATCGAGAAAGAGATAGCGTAGACGACTTCTGTTTTAAAAAATTTAACCTAAATAAATATAAAGCGTTTGCATTGGCTGTTAAAAAATTATTAACACTAAGCCATGGACAAGCCTCAGTTGAGAGAGGTTTTAGTATAAATGCCACAGTACTAGAACAGAGTTTAAATGAAAAATCAATAACTGCAAGACATTTAGTCAAAGGTCATATGCTATCAAATAATCTTCAGCCAAATAGTATTGAAATTACAAACAAAATGATCATCAGCGTAAAATCGGCACACGAAAGATATAGAAGCTACCTAAATTCAATCGCAGACACTAACAAAAAAGAAGCAAGTCAATTGCCAAAATAGTTGTTAGCAATGAAATAAAATATGTTGAAACGAGGCGAGATCAACTGAAGAAAACCAGTGAAATGTTGCAGTTTGATTTTGTAAAACTTGTTGAGGAAGCAGAGGAGAAGCAAGATCTAGGGTTAATTTTTAAAGCTAATGCGATGAAACGAAAAGCAAATGAAAAAAATGAAGAAATAAAGAAATTAGAGCTAGCACTTTCCATCTTAGAGCAAAAAAGAAAGTTGCTAAAATAATATATTCGTTCTCACATGAAGTTTATATTTTGTTAACAAAACACATTAGTTTTTTCAAAACATATATAAATTGTTATTTTTTTAATATATTTCTTTTAGTTATCAGATTAATATGGCTCTGTTTCTTGTTTAAAACACCTTTAACGAATTGCTATAAATTAATTAAAGACTTTTTTTTCTTAAAAAATAGTGATAAAAAGTATTTAGCGAACAAGGATTCAGTTGCTAAAGTATTATATTTTTCAACATTGATAGGCAAAATATTTAGACTTTTCACCGCACAAACTCAGGGAAAAAATAATTGAAAATCAGTGAAAATCAGGGAAAACTCAGGGAAAATGGTTTTTCAAAACTGCCATGAACCCTGAAATTTAAAAATTATTATGATATCGGTAAAAAAAAGTTCCTCTTATGAAATAAAAAGCTTTTATTATTTTTGATTTT